CAGGAAAACTAAAACCAGGTCTAAAAACCAGGTCTAAACCAGGACTAAACCAGGACTAAAAACCAGGACTAAACCAGGTCTAAACCAGGACTAAACCAGGTCTAAACCAGGTCTAAACCAGGACTAAAACCAGGACTAAACCAGACCCAGGTCTAAAACCAGGTCTAAACCAGGACTAAACCAGGACTAAACCAGGTCTAAACCAGGACTAAAACCAGGTCTAAAAAAAACCAGGTCTAAAACCAGGTCTAAACCTAAAAACCAGGTCTAAACCAGGACTAAACCAGGAAAACTAAACCAGGTCTAAACCAGGACTAAAACCAGGACTAAACCAGGTCTAAACCAGGTCTAAACCAGGACTAAAACCAGGTCTAAACCAGGTCTAAACCAGGACTAAACCAGGACTAAACCAGGACTAAACCAGGACTAAAACCAGGACTAAAAACCAGGTCTAAACCAGGTCTAAACCAGGACTAAAACCAGGAAACTAAACCAGGACTAAACCAGGTCTAAACCAGGACTAAAACCAGGTCTAAACTAAACCAGGTCTAAACCAGGACTAAACCAGGTCTAAACCAGGTCTAAACCAGGACTAAACCAGGTCTAAAACCAGGTCTAAAACCAGGACTAAACCAGGACTAAACCAGACTAAACAGGTCTAAACCAGGACTAAAACTAGGACTAAACCAGGTCTAAAACCAGGACTAAAACCAGGTCTAAACCAGGACTAAACCAGGACTAAACCAGGACTAAACCAGGACCAGGTCTAAACCAGGACTAAACCAGGTAAACCAGGTAAACTAAACCAGGTCTAAACCAGGTCTAAACCAGGACTAAACCAGGTCTAAACCAGGTCTAAAACCAGGTCTAACCAGGACTAAAACCAGGTCTAAACCAGGACTAAACCAGGTCTAAACCAGGTAAAACCAGGTCTAAACCAGGTCTAAACCAGGACTAAACCAGGACTAAACCACCAGACTAAACCAGGACTAAACCAGGTCTAAACCAGAACTAAACCAGGACTAAACCAGGACTAAACCAGGACTAAAACCAGGTCTAAACCAGGACTAAACCAGGACTAAAACAGGTCTAAACCAGGACTGAACCAGGACTAAAACCAGGTCTAAACCAGGACTAAACCAGGACTAAACCAGGTCTAAACCAGGACTAAACCAGGACTAAACCAGGACTAAACCAGGTAAACCAGAACTAAACCAGGTCTAAACCAGGACTAAACCAGGACTAAACCAGGAAAAACCAGGACTAAACCAGGTCTAAACCAGGACTAAAACCAGGACTAAACCAGGAAACTAAACCAGGTCTAAAACCAGGTCTAAACCAGGACTAAAACCAGGTCTAAACTAAACAGGACTAAACCAGGACTAAAACCAGGTCTAAACCAGGACTAAACCAGGACTAAACCAGGTCAAACCAGGTCTAAACCAGGACTAAACCAGGACTAAACTAAACCAGGACTAAACCAGGAACTAAACCAGGTCTAAAACCAGACTAAACCAGGACTAAACCAGGACTAAACCAGGACTAAAACCAGGACTAAAACCAGGAAAAACCCAGGTCTAAAACCAGAAACCAGACTAAACCAGGTCTAAACCAGGAACTAAACCAGAACTAAACCAGGTCTAAACCAGGAATCTAAACCAGGTCTAAACCAGGACTAAACCAGGACCAGGACTAAACCAGGACTAAACCAGGACTAAACCAGGACTAAACCAGGACTGAAGAGATGATTTCACGAACCTTGAAGTTATTAAGAAGAGAAAACTGAACAAAACACAAACTGGAGGAAGTGATTTAAAAGAGGATGTGAGAGTTTATAGTATTTTACTCGAGGATAAATCGGTCTAACAGGTGTTTCCTTTTCTTTGGTTTCCTCCTTGAGACATTTGGTCCATGTTACGCTTTTTTCTGCTCACAAACTGACCTGGAGTTGTGTTTTTGTTTCATTACATAAAAAAGTAGCTGCGGGAAGAGAGAAAAAAACCCAAAGGCCAAACTGTGTATTAAAGCCTCCACCTGATCAATATATTAAAACTGAACATTATCACTGTGCGTTACTCAAAAATATACATTTACACACCGTAGATTAAATACAATTGATCCAAACATTTGTCTCCAAAATCTAAAGTGAACCAGGACTAAAACAGGACTTAAACAGGTCAAAAGGACTAAACCAGGACTAAACCAGGACTAAACCAGGTCTAAACCAGGACTGAACCAGGACTAAACCAGATCTAAACCAGAAATAAACCATGACTGAACCAGGTCTAAACCAGGACTAAAACAGGACTAAAACAGGTCTAAACCAGGACTAAACCAGGACTAAACCAGGAAACCAGGACTAAACCAGACCTAAAACCAGAAATAAACCATGACTGAACCAGGTCTAAACCAGGACTAAAACAGGACTAAAACAGGTCCAAAACCAGGACTAAACCAGGACTAACCAGGACTAAACCAGAAATCTAAACCAGGACTAACCAGGACTAAACCAGACCTAAACCAGAATAAACCAGGAACTAAACCAGGTCTAAACCAGGACTAAACAGGACTAAAACAGGTCCAAAACCAGGACTAAACCAGGACTAAACCAGGACTAAACCAGGTCTAAACCAGGACTAAAGGACTAAACCAGACTAAACCAGAAATAAACCATGACTGAACCAGGTCTAAACCAGGACTAAAACAGGACTAAAACAGGTCTAAACCAGGACTAAACCAGGACTAAACCAGGATTAAACCAGTACTAAACCAGAAATAAACCAGGACTAAACCAGAAATAAACCAGGACTAAACCAGAAATAAACCAGGCATAAACCAGGACTAAACCAGAAATAAACCAGGACTTAAACCAGGACTAAACCAGTACTAAACCAGAATAAACCAGGACTAAACCAGGATTAAACCAGGATTAAACCAGTACTAAACCAGAAATAAACCAGGACTAAACCAGGATTAAACCAGTACTAAACCAGGACTAAATCAGGACTAAACCAGGGCTATGTCAGGATTAAATCAAGTCTAAACCAGGACTAAACCCCGTCTAAACCAGGTCTAAACCAGGTCTAAACCAGGACTAAAACTAGGTCTAAACCACTAAACCAGGTCTAAACCAGGACTAAATCAGGTCTAAACCAGGTCTAAATCAGGACTGAACCAGGACTAAATCAGGTGTAAGTCAGGACTAAACCAGGTCTAAACCAGGACTAAATCAAGTCTAAACCAGGACTGAACCAGGACTAAACCAGGACTAAAATCAAGTCTAAACCAGGACTAAACCAGGACTAAATCAAGTCTAAACCAGGACTGAATCAGGACTAAACCAGGACAAAATCAAGTCTAAACCAGGACTAAACCAGGACTAAAACAAGTCTAAACCAGGACTGAATCAGGACTAAACCAGGACAAAATCAAGTCTCAACCAGGACTAAATCAGGACTAAACGAGGACTGAACCATGGCTAAAACGGTCTCAGTCCTGGTCTGATTCCGGACCAAATGAAAATAAATAAATAAATAAATCTGCTGCTCATTAGTGTGAATCCGTGAACTTGTTTCCAAATTCTAACATATTTCTTCTTTAAATGTGACGTTTCAAAATGTCAAACTTCTTCAAATCTTATTGGAATCAGAATATTTTCAAATGCCAAAACCCTCCTGGACGTTTGTGTGTCTGTGTGTCCGGGGGCGTCGGTGCTGGAGGCGGCGTGTGATTGGTGGAGCGCGGTCAGCCGGGCCACGGGCACAGGATGGTAACTAGGTCTCTGCAGCTCGCCCCGGGGCAGCTGTGGCATCCAGATTATCTTTGCAGCCACAGAGTCTGCCCGAGGAGCGAATGAATAATACAAGTCATTATAAAAAAAAGACTTGAGGCGCAAACGATGGCGGGAGGAGAAGTTCTGTACATTACACTTTTTTAATAACTTTGGAACATTATTTAACGTTGTTTTTAATCGAGTTTCGTTTTATTCGTAAATACAGTGCTGTGTTTTTAAACCAGGACTGAACCAGGACTAAAGCAGGATTGAACCAGGACTAAAGCAGGATTGAACCAGGACTAAACCAGGTCTAAGCCAGGACTAAACCAGGTCTAAGTCAGGACTAAACCAGGGTTAAACAAGGACTGAAACCAGAACTAAACCAGGACTAAACAAGGACTGAAACCAGGTCTAAGCCAGGACTAAACCAGTTCTAAATCAGGACTAAATCATCACTAAACCAGGACTGAACCAGGACTAAACCAGAACTAAACCAGGACTAAACAAGGACTGAAACCAGGAATAAACCAGGACTAAACCAGGACTGAACCAGGACTAAACAAGGACTAAACCACGACTGAAACCAGGAATAAATCAGGACTCAACCAGGACTGAACTAGGACTGAACCAGGACTAAACCAGGACTAAACCAGGTCTAAGCCAGGACTAAACAAGGATTAAACCAGGACTAAACCAGGTCTAAGCCAGGACTGAACCAGGACTAAACAAGGACTGAACCAGGACTAAACCAGGACTGAAACCAGGAATAAACCAGCGCTAAACCAGGACTAAACCAGGACTAAACCAGGACTGAACCAGGACTAAACCAGGACTAAACAAGGACTAAACCAGGGCTAAACAAGGACTAAACCAGGACTGAACCAGGACTGAACCACGACTGAAACCAGGAATAAATCAGGACTAAACCAGGACTGAAACCAGGACTAAACCAGGTCTAAGTCAGGACTGAACCAAGAAAGAACCAGGACTGAACCAGGTCTAAACCAGGTCTAAATCAGGACTGAACCAGGACTAAACCAGGACTGAAGCAGGACTAAACCAGGTCTAAGTCAGGTCTAAACCAGAACTGAACCAGGATTGAACCAGGTCTAAACCCTTAACCCGCAGGAAACACCCAAACCATGAAAAAAAAGTGTGACTTATCGTCCGAAAAATACAGTCCTTAATGTAACCTAATCATTTAATTTGTCTCTCTGTTTTTCAGATTTTGAAGACCAAGAGTGACCTGCGTTTCGGGACCACCTGCAAATGAACTCATGAGACCCAAAACTTTGCCGACCGTTCCCGGATTCCATCGTTATAAATCGCCGTCTTTGTGAACCACATGATTGATCAGACTACACCTAAGCATTTCTGCCATCGCCGATCTCCACAATGCAATGGAGAAGGCGCCACTGCTGTCCCGTTAAGATGACCTGGACATTCAAGCGCTCGCTGTTCCGGACTCACGTAGCCGGCTTGCTCTCGCTGGCTTTACTCTTCACGTTGTTTTTGTTTTTCAGCCATCAGGACTGGCTGCCGGGACGCAACGGGCCGAGGGAAAACCCGCTGGCGTACACGATCAGAGGATTCCGAAACCCCAAAGTCGACTCGAGCCAGAACATCTCGCTTGCGGAGCTTGTTCAAGGACGCGAACGCGGCGGCGAAACCTTTGCTCAACCTCAGCACGCAGCAGGCCGAGACGGGCGGGAACTCCGGGCGCGTGACGGGCCTCGGCGACGCCATGAGCGCCAACAACAGTTTACAAAAAGAGATGGACGTGACGGGAAAGCTCAGCGCCCAGCCGTACCGCTACATCCTGAACGAGCCGCTGAAGTGCAAGGACAGCGCGCCGTTCCTCGTCCTGCTCATCGCGGCGGAACCGGGCCAGACGGAGGCCCGGAACGCCATCCGGCAGACGTGGGGGAACGAAAGCGCGGCGATGGGGCTGGGGTTCGTGCGGCTGTTCCTCCTCGGGATGGGCAAGAGCTCGTCGCAGGGCAGCATCGAGGAGGAGTCGCGGATCCACCACGACATCATCCAGCAGGAGTACCAGGACACGTACTACAACCTCACCATCAAGACGCTGATGGGGATGAACTGGGTGGCGACGCACTGCCCGCACGTGTCTTACGTCATGAAAACGGACAGCGACATGTTCGTCAACACGGAATATCTCATCCAGAAGCTGCTTAAACCGGAATTACCTCCAAAGCAAAGGTATTTCACGGGGTATTTGATGCGCGGATATGCACCAAACCGAAACAAGGACAGCAAATGGTACATGCCGCCGGAGCTGTACCCGAGCGAGCGTTATCCGATTTTTTGCTCAGGAACCGGTTACGTGTTTTCCGGCGATTTGGCGGGACTCATCTACCAGGCGTCGCTCAGCATACGCCGGCTGCACTTGGAAGATGTTTACGTCGGGATCTGCCTCGCCAAATTGCGCATCGATCCGCAACCGCCGCCGAACGAGTTTCTCTTCAACCACTGGCGGGTTTCGTACTCTAGCTGTAAGTATAGCCACCTCATCACGTCGCATCAGTTTCAGCCGGCGGAGTTGGTCAAATACTGGAATCACCTGCAAACCAACAAGCACAACGCGTGTGTGAACGCAGCCAAGGAGAAGAGCGGGAGGTACAGGCACAGGAGGTTTCACGGGGAGCGGCCGCCGTGAAGGACTTTGCAAAAAAAAAAAAAAAAGAAAAAAAAAAAGGGGGTTTCCGGAAATGTGACCATGACTACGGGAAGACGTGATGAAGTGTACGGGAAAAAAAGCACATTGTTTCTTTCTGTGGACAGTGGATGATTCAAAGTATTTTTTTAATTTGAAGAAATATTATCTAAGTTACGTGATATTTAAGAAAGGGATTTGGGAATTACGTCGGGTCAGTTTATGGAGATTCAGAGTCGGATATTAAATGGAAGAAAGTGGGAAGCAGCAGACGTATGCAGTAGTTACTTAGCGTTCATATTTTTTGACGAATGACGTGTTATATCAAACACAAACATACGCAATCCGTGTGTCGTTCGTTCATTCGTTTTTCACAATAAAACCAAAAATAAGAAACGAAATAACAACAGGGTTTTTTCATTATTTGTCTCCAAAACAGAATTTTTTTAAGTTTTCGATTTTGTGTTTAAATGAATAATGGAAAAAAACTTCCCAAACTGCGATGCTGGACTTTTGTGCCACATACGGACTAAACCAGAACTGAATCAGGACTAAAACAGGTCTAAACCAGGTCCAAATTATGACTAAACCAACACTAAAACAAGTATAAACCAGGACTTAACCAGGTCTAAATCAGGTCTAAACCATGACTAAATCACGACTAAAACAAGTTTAAACCAGGACTAAACCAGGTCTAAACTGGTCTCACCTCCTTGTCTGGTCCTGGTCTCAGTCCTAAACCAGAACTGAACCAGGACTAAACCAGGACTAAACTAGGACTAAAACAATTCTAAACTAGGTATAAACCAGGACTAAAACAAGTCTAAACCAGGTCTAAACCAGGTCTAAACCGGTCTCACTTCCTGGTTTGGTCCCAGTCTCAGTCCTAGTCTGGTCCTGGTCTCAGTCCTAAACCAGAACTGAACCAGGACTGAACCCAGACTGAACCAGGACTACAACCAGGACTAAACCAAGGCTAAACTTGGACTAAAACAATTCTAAACTAGGTCTAAACCAGGTCTAAAACCGGTCTCACTTCCTGGTTTGGTCCCGGTCTCAGTCCTGATCTGGTTCTGGTCTCAGTCCTAAACTAGTACTGAACCAGGACCAAACCAGGACTGAACTAGGAGTGTCGGGACGGGCCCGGAGGTGCACCCGCGTAGACTGTGGGGTGATCAGGAAACCGGGACCAGACCGGGACTGAGACCAGGACTGACACCAGTTTGGACCTGGTTCACTCCTGGTTTAGTCCTGTTTTAGTCCTGGTTCAGTCCGTATGCGGCGCAAAAGTTCAGCATCGCATTTTAAGTCCATTCTTCATTTAAACACAAAATCGAAAACTGAAAAAAATTTATCATTATCTGTTTTTACATTTTGATTTTGGAGACAAATAATGAAGTAAATCGTCGTTTTTTTCGTTTGTTATTTTTGGTTTTATTTTGAAAAACAAATGAACGAATTATACACGGATTATACACTGACCATGTGGGTGAAGTGTCTTGCTCAGTGACACAACAGCAGAATATAACGCCAAAAAAAGCAGGGATAAAAACATCAACGGTTCAACAGTTGCACGTCGACCTTGTACAATCACTTTTACTCGCGTACGTGCTCGGACATTTTCACGCCATGTTCATTTAACGGAGTGAAGCGGGCGTCTCGTTGGAGCTGAGATCGAACCGCCAACCTTCGGGTTTGTGGGCGACAGAATCCTCCACGACTGAGCCACGGCCCCTCACTTTTAGGCAACGTTCAGACTGCAGGGCTCAACGCTCAATTCGGATTTTCTGGCGAGGTCGTTCACATTTCCAATTAAACGCGACTTGTTTGTGATCTCCAGTGTGAACTTTAAACGCTGCAAAAGTGTCCAGAAGCGAGCGTGCTCAGGGTTTACGGAAGTCGCCTAAACGCTGGGATCGTCTCCCAAAATCCGGTCCAGTTCTTCGTAAAATGGACAGGTTACACGCACATGGACGCTTCGTTTGTTTGAGTCTTTGTCTCGTATTTGTCTTCATTTTTCGTCGACATTGGAGCCAGGACCGACTGTAGCCGCGCTCGGACATTTCTCTGGCGAACATTTCATAAAAACGCCTGGTTTCGGTTAGGGATGGGCATTCGATTAAATTTTCTTCGTCGATCGTCGGGAGAATTAACGATCCATTATCGATTAATCATGACAGTTTTTATATTAAAATTATCGTCATTATTATTACTATCTGCACTACTAATCTGCGTAAATGGTCACATTTTTCTATAGCGCTTTTCCACCTTCAAGGCACTCAAAGCGCTTTACAACAAGGAACCACTCACCCATTCACACACCAGTGTACGCAGACACTGTGGGTTAAGTGTCTTGCCCAAGGACACAACGGCAGCATTCATCTGTGGGAGCTGGAATCACACCAGCCAACCTGTGGATCTGACCGCTCAACCTGTGATGTTTATGTTGAGAGCTGGATTCGAACCGCCAACCTTTAGATCAGTGGGCGAATGCTCCACCAACTGAGCTACTGCCGCCCAAATAAATAAATAACTGTAACGACTCTAGAGCCACATCAGCCCGTTTGACATTATAATGTGTTTTAATGCAGATTTGCGCGAGTCTCACAGAAACGAAACTTAAAACCTTATGGCTGATTTGCATAAACAAAGCGAAGGAAAAAATCAGCTCTTGTGCCGATGCGGTTCAACTTCTGTCGGATTAAAAGACATGACTCAGGTGAATACAGGTTAGTGTGACCATATTTGCGTTTGTCAAAACCAGGACACCGTACGGGGGGAGGGAGGTGGGGCCTCGTCATCGACATTGAGCGACTCTCACCTGGTAAAACTTTTTCATGTTTTTCGGTGTCCTGGTGAACTTTGAGGTCCCTGACACCGACACGTGCACATGGACTCACACTTGTCTCGACCGGGACGGAAAGTGGGCAGTTCCTTGTACACGTCATCATTAAATGTGCATGGCGTGTTGTAGGCTGACTGACTGTTTGTGTCTGCTCGCTCTTTCTGAGTGCACAAAGATCTACGAGAGACGCTCAGTCTAATGGCCCCAATGAACGGTAATGAAAACCTCAACATTTGCATCACTTTTGTTAGGTTTATCTAAACATTGTAAACAAGAAGAAAGACAAGAGATTAATTCAGTTTTACTCGCGAGGAGAACGGGCAGAGAGTGGGCATCAAAACCAACAGTCTCCACACGTTCTGATGACTCAAGGCCGTTCTCCTCTTTTTATTTCATTAGGAGGCCCTAGTTACAGAATGATAATTCTCAAGGGGAAGGGGAAACAGCAAAGACATAATAAGAAACTGATGAAGCTATGCATAGTATAAACACTTAAAACATGATTAACAATCAGGAGGTGCCTTAGGTCAGACACCATCATAACTCTTGCATGTGTGACAGTGGGAGTTGGCTTCATGTGAGGAATCATCTCGAGGTTCACTAGAGCGACAGGACACTGCACACAGTTGTCAAACACACAGAGGTTATTCATTTTCATACAAGTGATTGGTACATTATAAATCAAAGAATTGTAGTTACATAAATGGTTAACTCATAGGCATAGAATATCACACAAGTATTTAGCAAATATGGGATAATAAAATTATTCTGACAACTTTATTAAAAAAAAAAAAAAACGGACACCCAGGACAGGACGTGGAAAACTGCCATGCCCGGGGAAAAACGAACATTTGGTCAATCTACGCTACGCACAGCGACCTACATTCGGTCTGTCGATTAAAAATGTACGTAATCGACTCAATCAATTACCGATTAATCGACTAATCATGCCCATCCCTAGTTCCGGTAAGACGCCTCCAGTTTGACGTGTAGGTGGGATGAATGCGACCTGACCGTTCAGACTGAAGTCGCATGTCAAAAAGTCGGATATTTATCGGTTTTAGGAGCACAAATCCAAGTGGCCTGGGTCACATTTGGAAAAAATTCATTAAAAGGTCAAAAAATCGGATTTGGGTCACTTCACGCTGCAGTCTGAACGTCGCCTTAGTTGGTTGTGCTTTTATTTTTCATGTTTTTGTTCAGTTAATAATCATTTTGTATATTTGCCAAATTAAACATTATATTTTCTTCATCCATTCATTCATCTCATTTATTTCCGTTTAAATGTCTGTACGTTTCGTTTTAAATTTCACCCACCAAATGTAGCTTTAATATTAACTGTAGCAAAAATTTGTAGTGTTCAATGTCGATATATTTTTATATTTATGTTATTTATGAATTTATTTGTGTGTTTGTCCTCTCAAAATCCACGTGATCGTACCATCATCATGAATATTATATTATTAATCCATTAAAGGTCACAAATGATGCTGTTTTTTAGTCCATGCCAGGTTTCCTCATCAAAAATATTTGTGGGTCAAACTCAAAACTGGAACTAAGTCATGGGCCAAACTAAATATTTATTGAAAATTTTCACCAACATCTTTTTTTTCTCTTCTTTCGAGGTATGTAATGTTAAATCTTATTAAAATAAATGTTTAATTATAGTTTGGTTTCAACATTGAATCCAGAATGACTAAATTTTAAGTAAATAATGTCTTTATAGCCTATCTGTAACTTTTGAACTCCTTTTAAATGACAACAACCGGTCAAAAATAACTTTACTGCTTCAATGAAAATCCAATCAAAAATCATAAAGAAAACATTCATCTAAGCTCAATTTGCTTTGTTTGACTGTGATTTACTCTGATGCACATGGGTCCAAAGCAAATACAAATACTTGGCATCTCTTCTTAAACACAAGGTCATCAAAGTAGTAGTAGTAGTAGTATTAGTAGTACTAGGGTCCAGTCAAGTGGTAACGGAGGGAAACGGGCAGATTTTTGACATTCAAATGTCTCTTATTCAGAAACTACAGGGACTATTGAAATAAGTAAAGTATCAGAATGTAGGAAAGAGTTACACTCCAACAGGGTCAAGTTAAACCTGTGATATTCTTTCAAGTTGTTGACAAAAAATTTTAAAACTCATGTCTGTAACAGAGGGAATGAAATATGCAGCACTTTGTGGGCAATAAATCCAAACAGTGATAACTCTTGGTTCTCACTTACATATCCTTAACAAACTGGTTTGAATATTTGCTTCATGTAGTTTTCTACCATATGGGACAAGATTAGGTTGAAAAACCTCTTACTTTTTGACTCATGAGATTTTTTATGAAGAAAGGTCATGGTAACGGAGGGAAAAGTAACAGAGGAAAAATTGTACAAGCAAGTAGAAGGTGCAGGATTTTACATAATTTGTCAACTTTTTTTCTTCTGAAAACTTTAATATTACTTCAAAATGAAAGGAAACTATTTCTATAAAATATGTCAGTCCTTCCAAGAACATTTTTATCATTTTAAATACTTTTTTTTTTTTTAATCCTGTACCTTCATCAACAGTTCAAAGATGGAATAACACAAGATATGATGAAATACATCCATTTATTTACATGATTTGCAGGTCTTTGAAATTTGGGAAATAATTTTTGTTCCATGTTTCATACATGGTCTGTTTAAAACATATGGAACTTTAGAACCAAAAATGGTACAGAAAAAAGGTCAACAGTTTGATAAACTAGAGTACATATGTATCTGTTCAATACATTTTTATATCAGATGCATTAACTTGAATTTTTGGCCTTGCTGTTTACTTCTGCTTGACTGGGCCCATTTCAAGGCAAAAAGAGCGAGACAGACTTCATACACATCAGAATTACTTAAATGAGTAATAAATAAACACCTACAAATACGTTTTTGATGAGGAAACGACATTAAAAAGCTGGCTGGTTGACTACATTCTTGAAAAAAAAAAAGGCCCTGTACCTGATTTTTCTGACGTATTTTAGCTTCGTGTGCTGCATTTCATTGTCCGATAATGAGGAAGTCCGTTGTGTTAGCATGCTAGTTGTTGTCAGCTTCAAAAATTCGCTGTTTTGAGAATCGCTTTTCAACTCATCGCGGTGAAAAATTTAGGACGGTCCGAACCCTTAAGGTAAGTGAGGAGTAACTCGGGACCGCTGCAAACTACGAAAACGAACCAGCTCTGTTTTTCACGTTTTTAAGTCGGTAAAAATCACGTACGGCGCCTTTGAACGGACCTTTTAATCACGAACTTTAAAAATGCTTTGTTACGACATTACGGTAACCCATCACGCTGCTTCACACTAACTTCCATTCGACATTTGTGAACTTTCGGGACCTCTCCGGTGTCCTTCTCTGGAAGATTGTAGCGGACTTTTCAGGACAGAGTTCATTCAGGTGCCAAGAAGAAACCAACGGCGGAGAGAGACGGAAGAGTTTAATATCGCACTACGTATTAAATGTATAAATCTCGTATGCCACCGATGTGTTTACAGACACGGAAATGTACGTCTTTTGTTCAACCTCACACTACCTACTTCTGAAGAAAGTGACCGTGGCCTCCTTTAGGACCTAAGGCGTTAAAATACCAATTACGAGATTAAAATATATATTATAAAATGTTGTAAAAATTGGTCTATATGAGATGTTTTGTCTTAATAATAATGTTTTTTTTTTGTTTTTTTTTAAAGCACCAGGAGCAATGACGTCTAAGTTGGATTGGGTGCGAATGGAAAAAATATTGACTGAAAAAACAACTATTCTTTAATTTATTAATAAAAGAAAATCCCAAGACTAAACCAGGACCAAATCAAAACCTAGAACTAAACCAGGTCTAAAAGTTCTGAAGAAAAGCAAGATTAGATCAGATATAAAATGCAATCAAGTATAAATAGTTATAGGTTTCTGAAGATTCTGAAGTAGTAGTAGTAGTATTAATAGTAGTAGTAGTAGTAGTAGTAGTGAAATATTACTTCACCAGTGAGTGCACTTTTTACAATTCAAAGACCTGAGATGCAAAAAAAAAAAAAAAAAATCTCAATCCGTGTTTCATTCGTTGATTCGTTTTTCAAAATAAAACTAAAAAATAAGAAAATGAAAAAAACAACAATTTTCTTCATTGTTTATCTTATTTTAACTGATCCCAGGGCTGAACCAGGACTAAAACAGGATTAAAACAGGATTAAAACATGACTAAACCACAAATAAACCAGGTCTACACCAGGACTAAACTAGGACTAAACCAGGTCTGAACCAGGATTAAACCAGGAATAAACCAGGTCTAAACGAGGACTAATCTTGGACTTGAGAGAGAAGGAGAACCCAGGAGGTCTAAACCAGGACTGATCCCAGGACTGAACCAGGAGGACTAAACCAGGGCTGAACCAGGACTAAAAGAGGTCTAAACCAGGTCTAAACTAGGTCTAAACCAGGTCTAAATCAAGACTAAACCAGGTCTAAACCAGGATTAAACCAAGTCTAAACCAGGACTGAACCAGGACTAAAACAGGACTACACCAGGTCTAAACTAGGATTGATCCCGGGACTGAACCAGAAGGACTAAACCAGGTCTAAACCAGGTCTAAACCAGATCTAAACCAGGACTAAACCAGGTCTAAATCAGGTCTACACCAGGACTAAACCAGGACTGATCTTGTACGCAGCCCAAAATTAAAAAACAGATAATTATTTCAGTTTTCGTTTTTAGAGACAAATACTAAAGAATTTTATTTTTATTTTTTTCCATTTTCTTATTTTTTGGTTTTTATTTTGAAAAACAAATGAACCAATGATACACAAATGTATTTAAATCAATTCAGGCAGCTCTCCGTCGCGTTATCCAGTATGTATTTACTTAATTTACTCCAATTACGCAAACGAACAAACTAAAACACACAGACATATAAATTTATAAAACACAGAACATTAACACACTGTTCATATTTTAACCTCTGCAGCTGTTGTAGTAAAAATAATTTGACAACAGTTTGGTGGGGTCTGAACCTCAAAACTCCACGTTAGTGAACAGAACATCTTTAAATAGTCTAAAACGTTTCATGCACTTTACTAATTTAAATAGTGTAGGTAGGCCAATTTAGCTGCTATAAAATTGCTTCTATCTGCTTGTCCAATTATGTTAACGAACCAGCTAAAAACCTAGATTACACTGGAGCACATTTACAAAATACTAAACTTAATTGAGCACATTTACACCTCCGTAGCAGCAGCAGCAGTAATAGTATCTTTACCGATGAGTTAAACGAAACATAAGTGCACTTTTTACAAAACAAATCACCCGTGACACGAAATCATAAAGGTTACAGGCAAGGTGGATGGGAAGTGTTTTGCCAAAAGACACAACACGATACTGGTATTTGAGCCGCCGACCGACGATTCAGCGAATAACACATCTAATAATAATGTACTCGAGTAGATTTTATTTACAAATTGTAGGCTATGAGTTGAAAATGAAGGTTTTTTTTTACCAAATCAGGCATTCATATAAACTGTAGATCTCTGTCTATTGGAAGGAATGCGTTGACAAAACCGCCATCTTGGTACTGGTTAGCGCTGTCTAAGATTAGTCCTGGTTTAGACATGGTATAGTACTGGATCAGTCCTGGTTTAGTCCAGGGTCAGTCCAGGTTTAGGTCTAGTTAAGTCCAGGGTCAGTCCAGGTTTAGGTCTAGTTAAGTCCTGGTTTAGTCCTGGTTCATCCCTGGTTCAGCTCTGGTTCAGCCGTGGTTTAATCCTGGTTCAGTCCTGGTTTGGTCCTGTTTCAGCCTTGGATTAATCCTGGTTTAGACCTGGTTTAGGCCTGGTTTAGGCCTGGTTTAGTCCTAGTTCAGTCCTGGTACAATCCTGGTTTAGACCTGGTTTAGACCTGGTTTAGTCCAGGTTTAGGCTTAGTTTAGTCCTGTTTCAGCCTTGGATTAATCCTGGTTTAGCCCTGGTTTAGACCTGGTTTAGGCCTGGTTTAGTCCTGGTTTAGTCCTAGTTCAGTCCTGGTACAATCCTGGTTTAGACCTGGTTCAGCTTTGGTTCAGCCCTGGTTCAGTCCTGGTTCAGCCTTGGTTTAGACCTGGTTCAGTCCTGGTTAAGCCCTGGTTTAATCCTGGTTTAGACCTGGTTCAGTCCTGGTTTAGTCCTAGTTCAGTCCAGGTTCAGTCCAGGCTTAGACCTAGTTTAGACCTGGTTTAGTCTTGGTTTAGACCTGGTTTAGCTCTGG